TGTGAAAGAAACATTTCTTATTCAACGGCGATTAAAATTATTTATATTAATGATGTCTCCAAAGTTCAACGAAGTTTTCGCAGAAAAATAACATCAGAAATTGCAGCCGTGGTTTGCTGAGCTGTTCCGCGACGAAAACAAGCTTGAGCAACGGCGATGTCGAATGGTGCACACTCAGTAAGTAATCCTACAATTTTTTGTTTATAGCGTAGTTTATACGGATTATTTCCAAAAAAAAAATATACGTATTTTGGAAATGTTGAGTCGGATTAATCTAGAATCGATTAATTTTATGGAAGAAAACCTTTCAAACAGCCGTAGTTCGTAAACTTCACACGTGTCGGGCTGTGATTGGCTGCGATTCCTACAAAATTGATTCATAAAGAACAGAACGTATCTACCGTCTTATAAGGGGATCAACTGTACACTAAAATAATCATTTTTTGGAAAACACAATAAATTAATTATATCTTTCCAGGATTTAAATTTTGTCAAATATTTTTTTTCTATTTATTTCAAACTTGATACAGTGAAGAAACACATGTTCCCAAGTTTCATATGTTCACAAACTACAGCTACTGCAAATTCTCTCAGGGTCTATTGTGAGACTCTGGAAGTGGACCATATTTACTTGCATATGAGGTTTTTATTCACTTATCAATCACAGCTTCAAATTTCTAGGTCATCCTATACACACGAATGAAAGATTCTTTGCATTTTTGCAAATAATTTTGTGAACCATGTATTTGCATTTTTTACCAGATGCTCATCATTGTGTTTAAAAACAAAAGTATTTTATCTGAGTCATTTCAATTGTTCTCGTGTAATGTCAGGAGTGAAGATGAATCATGAAAACAGATGATTACTTGGAAATCAGAATTCAAAGAAACTTATAAGTGTAATCGACGGAGAGTGGATTCAACTGTTAAGATTTGGCAGAAAAAAGTTCCCGATTGTCCAGCTTTACATGAAAAAATTATGTTGTTGAATTTGCATGATTTTTCCTTAAAGTTTAAAATGCCAGTAATTTTTGTGGGACAATGTATGCATTTACATTCATTTGATATTTTACTTGTCTGAATTTTCTAATAGTAGCTGTTTTATATGTTGATTAATTAACATCTCTTCAATCCGAAAAAACTTCCGGTAGACTACGTCACAGCCAATTCAGGTTATAAAAAAACTCCTTTTATTGTTTTTTTACAGATGCATTTTGAGCTAGGTTAACTTTCTAGCTCCTCTTCAGTGTTACAAAATAAATTTTTAATTATAAAATTGACAAAAAACAACGCATGTAGAAAATGTATACAAATAAAACACCACTCATAATACTGTACCTTAAGAGTCTCCATAGGTTACAATGGCTTAATTTCACACTTATATGGTACTTTTAGTCCCATTTACAATATTTTTACCATCTTAAAGAATTACTTTAAGGGCATTTATCGTGTTATATCGAAAGAATGTACAGCTTGCTACACTAGTAATTATAAATTATAACATTTAGTAACATTTTACAATAATATTTAAAAACCTTAAAAACAAAAATATAAATATACATACAGGTTTCTTACTAATTAAAAGCTTATTATTTTCAAAATTTAACAGTATATGTTGTATAACCTTTGAACACCATTAAAATACAAAAAGGTTTTTTGCGACAACGTATAATCCTTACGATATACAGTCGACCCCCCTATAAGATCATTGATTATTCCGTTTTATATGAATTCCATGTTGTACGAGTCACTTAGATTTTACAAATACATGTACCGGGCTGTGAACGGCTCACGTCTTTGTAAAATTTAAGTGACTCGTACAACATGGAATTCATATAAAACGGAATAATCAATGATCTTATAATAATCTGGTCGACTGTAATTAACTAACTTATCATTGTGCCCTCTATTATGTTGTACCATTGCTGGTCGATTTGCATACCATTTGA